CGCAGCCCGGGCCGGGGCCGGGACCCGGACCGACCTTCCCGAGCGAGCCCCGGCGCAGAGCTTCGGCTCTGCAGGCGGGATAGAAACCCACCGAGGGGTGATACCCCCTCCCCACCTGGCTCTGGCAAACAAAAGCCGGGCGGGAGGCTGGCCCCTCGCAAGCTGCCGGTAATTAAAAAGGCCTGTAAATGCCCCGCAAAAAGCACTTCAAAGGGACGGCGATTCCAGCGAGACCGCGCGGTGTAAAAATTATGAGTTTTCCCCACAGGGTGCTTTGTGTGAAAGGGCCGGGATCGGTGGCAAACGCCGCTGCCCGCTGCCGGGGGCTCGGCGGAGCATCCTGGGGGATGCAGGGGCACCGCGGAGCATCCCGGGGTTGTGGCTACCGGCGCAGCCCCTGTACCTAAAGACGACCGCAAGCGGCCCACCGCACGCAAACTCCTGCTCTGCCCCCCTAAAAACCTGCAGAAAACCACCTTCTGCTCCGTCTACGGACGGAGCTCTCGCTGCCTGGCCCCTCCGCGCCGCCCCTTTTGGGAAGCGGGGAGGGGGTCTCCTCTTCTCCAGACGCACGGCTTTTGGCCGTTTGATTACTTTTAAGTGTATATTTTTCCCCTCAAACAGAGTGAATACAATGGTTAGGAAATTTGACAGAAAACTATTCCGAGCCATTTATTGCCTTAATGCGCACCTTTGTCCAACAGGCAGTTTTGACAGGAGCGATAAATTCCAAATTTATGTCAACAGAGCATATGTTGAACACCTCATTTCTGAGCTAAAGCGGCATGCTGCCCCATAAATCACCCTTCTGTTTGAAATGAAAGTAGATTACGAGCCCGTGTTATTGAGCAGTTAGAGCCATAGTCGTATAAATCAGAACTTTTAACTCCAGGCGATCCGTTCTGCAATTAACTAAAGGGCACTTTGTCATCCCCGGGCTGGGGCGCAGCTTGGCAGGGCACACGGCTACCGGGGAAAGGCAACCGCCCCCTCGCTGCCAGGGAACGGCTCTCGCGCCGCCGAGTTTTGCCCCGTCCCTGTGGCAGCGGAGGACCCGGAGGCGAAGCCCGCAGACCGATGCCGGAGGGGCTTCCCTGGCGCGCACATCGCTGCCCGCAGCGCCCCTCCGCCGCCGTTCGGCAGCCGGCTCACAGGCGGTGGGGCAATCGCCAGGCAGCGGCGACACACGCGAAGCCTCAGCCTCCTCACAAGTTACAAGCGAGACCAAACCATGCACCAGTGCAACGTGAAGAGTCCCGCACCGACCGGGAAGCCAACGGCGCAGACAGACATCTCTCCTCCTGCATTTGGCAGCGGTTTTGCCGGCACCTCCCGATGCCCGCGCGACAGGTCCAGGCCCTCATCCCATGGCATTGCACCCCATCCTGCCGCATTTGCCCACATCCCGTGGCTTTTCCCCCCATTCCA